GAAAAAATTGTCGAGTTTGGAAGAGAAAGCAAAGGGAATGAAACAATCAAAAGAAAGATGATATTGGCAATACCACCGCTGTCATATGTGGTGATGTACCAGAAATATTGTCTGTTGGTGAATGTCTGCATATGGGCAACTCTGACAGAGACATTGAATGGATCTTTGACAATGGAGCTTCCTTCCATACTACGTCCAAACGGGAGTTCTTTAGTACATACAAAGAAGGTGACTTTGGCATAGTGAAGATGAGAAATGAAAGCTATTCCAAAATTTTTAGAATTGGTGATATCTGCCTAAGAACTAATCTCAGCTGCCAGTTGATGTTGAAAGATGTGAGACATATTCCTGATATATGTCTCAATCTGATATCCATCGGTACCCTTGATCGACAACGATATTATCCCCATATTGGCGAAGGAAATTGAAGCTTACCAAAGGCTTAATGGTGGTAGCAAGAGCACGACTTTGTTATACGTTGTATCGGTCAAATGCCAAGGTTTTGAAAGGTGAGTTGAATGATGTGGATGACTCATCTCTAGACTTGTAGCATAAGAGGCTAGGCCACATGAGCGAGAAAGGCCTACAAGTTTTGACAAAGAAGTCTCACATTCCCTTTGCCAAAAGTACGTCGTTAAACTCTTGTGAGCATTGTTTATTCGGAAAACAAAGAAGAATTAGTTTTTATGTTCCATCTACAAAGAAAGGAAATTTGTTAGATCTTGTTTATTTAGATGTGTGTGGTCCCATGGAAGTCGAGTCACTTGGAATAAATAAATATTTTGTTACTTATATTGATGATGCTTCACGAAAGGTTTGGGTGTATTTGTTAAAATCCAAAGACCAGGTGTTTCAGACATTCCAAAAGTTCCATGACATGGTGGAGAGGGAAATTGGGAAACCTCTCAAGTGCCTTCGTAGCGACAACGGCGGTGAGTACACATCTCACCAGTTTAGAGAGTATTGTGTGAACATGGCATACGTCATGAGAAGACAGTTCCTGGAACTCCACAACATAATAGTGTTGCTGAAAGAATGAACCGAACCATCATGGAGAAAGTCAGGTGTATGCTGAGGACTGCAAAGTTATCTAAGCAATTCTGGGGTGAAGCTGTAAAAATAGCCTGCTATTTGATCAACCGATCTCCATCAGTACCATTAGGTCTTGATGTTCCAGAGAGAGTATGGACTGGTAATGATGTGTCTTACTCTCATCTAAAGGTGTTTGGTTGCAAAGCTTTTGTGCATGTGCCCAAAGAGCAGAGATCGAAGTTAGACTACAAAGCTACACCGTGAATCTTTCTTGGTTATGGCGGTGAAGATTTTGGTTACAGATTATGGGACCCATACCAGAAGAAGTTTATCCGAAGTAAAGACGTGGTCTTTTATGAAGATCAAACAATTGGGGATTCGGATAAAGAGGCACAACCAGATGGCGCAGTCAGAGGAGTTGATCCATTAGCTTCATATGAAGAAAGTCACGATGACATCCTTGAAGCAGCTGCCAATGAAGTGCCTGCAGAACCAGATAATGTTGATCATGGGAAGCCTGATCAAGATGTGCCAAACTATGAAATTGCTGATCAAGGGGAACCTAGTCAAGAAGAGCAAATTCAAGGAGAACCCAATTAGGGGGAGCTTTCAGCTCTGCAAGAGAATGAAGATCAGGTCAGAATCTAGCAGAAGTCGAATATCATCTACCAAGTATTCTTAATCAGAGTATATCATGTTGACTAATTATAGAGAGCCCGAAACTTATGAGAAGGCCAGAGCTCATAAACACAGTGATAAATGGATGAAGCCAATGGAGTCAGAGATGGATTCCTTATTAAAGAATGATACCTATAAGCTGGTGGAGCTTCCAAAGGGCAGAAAAACATTGAAAAACAAGTGGGTGTTCAAATTAAAAAGAGACAACAAAATGACAAGGTACAAGGCTCGTTTGGTTGTCAAAGGTTTTGGTCAAAAGAAATGAGTTGACTTTGATGAGATTTTCTCACCGATGGTGAAGATGACTTCCATTCGAGTTATCCTTGGTATGGCAGCAAGCATGGATCTTAAGCTCAAGCAGTTAGACGTTAAAACTGCATTTCTCCACGGCAACTTAGAAGAGGAGATATATATGGAGCAACCCAAAGGCTTTGAAGTCAAAGGTAAAGAAACTTTGGTGTGCAAGCTCAAGAAAAGCTTATATGGTCTTAAGCAGGCTCTGAGACAGTAGAATAAGAAGTTCAACTCATTCATGGTGAGTAATGGGTATAAGAGAACTCATGCTGACTCTTGTGTCTATATCAAACAATTTTCTGGAGGTAAATTCATCATTTTATTGCTTTATGTTGATGACATGTTGATTGTCGGTTAAGATGCTTCTATGATTAAAAAGCTAAAAGAAGAGTTATCTAAGTCATTTGACATGAAGGACTTAGGGCCAGCCAAGCAGATTTTGGGCATGGAGATAATTCGTGACAGAAAATCCAAGAAGTTGTGACTGTCACAAGAAAAGTATGTTGAACGGGTGCTTGAAAGGTTCAACATGAAAGCAGCCAAACCGGTAAGCTCACTTTTAGCCAATCATATCAAGTTGAGCAAAGAGTCGTGTCAAAAAACATATGAAGAAAATGAGAAAATGGCAGTTGTTCCCTACTCTTCAGCGGTAGGAAGTATCATGTATGCAATGGTGTGCACACGGCCAGATATTGCTTATGCAGTAGGTGTGGTGAGCATGTTTCTCTCTAATCCAGGGAAAGACCATTGGAAAGCTGTTAAGTGGATTCTCAGATATTTGAAGGGGACTTCTAAGATGTGCTTGTGCTTTGGTGGTTCCAAACCAATCTTGGAAGGGTTTACAGATGCTGACATGGGAGGTGACCTGGATGGTAGAAAATCTATGTCTGGGTACTTGTTTACTTTTGTAGGGGGAGCCGTGTCTTGGCAATCAAAGTTGCAAAAGTGTGTTGCTTTGTCCACAACCGAGGCTGAATACATAGCCGCTACAGAAGCATGCAAGGAGTTATTATGGCTGAAGCGGTTTCTCCAAGAGTTAGGTTTGAAGCAAAGTGATTATGGCGTTTATTGTGATAGTCAGAGTGCTCTGGATTTGAGCAAGAACACTACATATCATTCACGCACTAAGCACATTGATATTCGTTATCACTGGATTAGAGATGCTATCGAGAACAAGTTGCTACAGCTGAAGAAGATTCATACCGATAATAATTCTTCGAACATGTTGACAAAGGTAGTCACAAAATAAAAGTTGGAATTCTGCATTAAGGCTGCTGGGATGGACTCCAGGTAACTTGGAGTCATGATCGGAATTCCTCCCTCATGGACTGGAGGGGGAGATTGTTGGTATATGGTCCAGCCCATGATCAATGTTCTAGATTATTCTAGTAAGCAAGTGAGGTGGTTGGAGCATGCTGGACAATTCTAGCATGTTATTTAGTTGATGGAAGAAGCTAGAGAGTACTAGCTTCCTTGGTTGCAAATGGAAATATCTAGAAGCTACAATGTTGTGGCTAGTCTAGAATTATCTATGCTAGATGTTTGAAGAATACACTAGAAACAAGTAGAATACCAAACCTTCACCTATAAATATGGGTGTAGTAACCAATTAAGAACCAAGTGTGAGTAGCAAAGGATCAAGTCTAAAGCTAGAGTTCCACTGTAAGAGTGAGAGTGAGAGTGTTTCACTACACATTGTGAGTGAAGTTTAGAGTGATAGAAAGTGTGTGTCATATTTTCTTGTATCCATCAAGTCTTGTCTTTGGCTTGGTAAGACTAAGCTTATTGTACTCATCTTTTTCATATAGTGAAGATTGATCTTTGTTTTGTGGACGTAGGCATAGATTGCCGAACCACATAAAATTCTTGGTGTCCATTTTCTACTTTACCTGGTGCATTCTCTATCTTGTAGTACCGACATTCCTAACACTTACGAGGAGTGTAGAATGAGATTTTTAAAGTGTTTAATAACAGTTCCCTTCGAAATTAATTAAACTTAAGAACATTGTGCGTTGTGTTTAGAATCTTGGTTATAATTTCCAGGTGAGATTATTTGTGAGTATATGCCAAATGAGATTTGCGCATTTTCGGTGTCATCTTCGGTAAACAGTGCTTGTTGGAAACGATCGCGAAGAAGGGCAGAAAGGTTGGACACGAATGCAAGACGTCGGGAGGGGTGGTAGAGAAGATGGCGGAGTACATAGAGACGGATGAGTGCATCAAGGCATGCAGTATTGATAGGAAGGCAATTGGAATTTCCTCTGATTCCCTCTTCGACCCTCGAGTTCTCAAGATGCTTTGTTATCACAGGTGCCCTAACATTATTGAGCTTTACTTCAACATGGCTGTTGGAGAAGGTACGTAATCAAGATCTCGCACAATCTACGCGCAGAAGATTGACGATTTTTCTTAATCTTAGAGCTTTAGTGATTATCTAACGTGGTATTAGAGTGTTCTAACTTGATGTACTAACATTTTTTTGGGGTAAAAAATGTACTTACATTCTTTGTCAACTGTTTTAATTAAAATGCAGGAGTATTCTTGCCTTATCGATGCAAAAAACAACGTTCCAATCCTCACCGTGCCATGGAAGAAATTTCGAGTTATGGCGATGCTTCTGCAAATGCCCCTCGTCCTGTTTCGCAATAATATTTATGAACAAAGCTTCATCTTGCATTTTCCCCTGGTCCCTTCTAGCCATGCATGTTGCATGGTGTTCCTCTGGAATGTTAGTAGCAAGGAATTTTGGAGGAGATTTGTAACATTAATGAAGCGTAATCCCTAATACTAGACCACCAAATTTCTGTTTCAAATAGTATACACTAGAAAAAGTGCCCCCGCGCGTTGCTGCAGGTGTTAAAAATATTTTGGAAATATATCTTTACAGAAAACAGAGGTTTGTTATCCTTTGAGTTTCAAGTTTTGAATCAAGATCACTAATTCTAAACTACAATACGAAAAACTATTTCCAGACTGTTGGACATCAAGAAGAACACTAATTCTGAAATACAAATTCAATTTCTCTCCATGTTAAAAAGCATGTAAGCAGAGTCAAAGGACATAGTTTCTATTACCGGAACAAAAAATTGAAACCATATACATTGAGAAACATGCAAAACTCACTTGGGAATGCCGGATTAGATCGGTCTCAACCAAGTTCAAAGTGAATCCAAAATGGGCACAAAGTTTCTGAAATAAAAAACCAAAGCACATGAGATACTAACAAAAGCCATAAAAAAAAAAGGATAATCAAAACCTTGTGCGGCAACAAACATGCAGAACTTACTTCGAAAACCCAGATCAAACCAACCAAAAACCCAAAAATATTATCGGAATCAAACCAAAAAAGCAGAGAAATTAACAACCCTGACTACTAATCGAAGAACAACATATGCGAGCCATAATCAACCATTACACATATTTGAACAACAATTTAGGAAATCAGTATATCACAAAGAGAAAACAATCTCACACTTGCAATGACACTTCTTATTAGTATAACTAAACTACAAAAGCACTCAGCAAGTTATGCCGTGAACAACCAAGGATCGAATACATCTACTCAGATCATGTCTATAACTCAAGGACTCTAGTAGTGGAAGATCTTCGATCTAACATTTCATATTTGTGATACGCAAAAGAAAACATACAATATAGCATGAAGACCAAAGACCATAAATCCAACTCACCAAGTGTTTATTTTTGGCAGGTCGTAAGAAGAAACAACACCTTCATAAAACTTGCAGACAGAAATTTCATGCAAGAAAATAATCATTTGGGGCTTAAAACTTCAGCGTCACAGACTTAGTGGGCCATATAAAAAAGCATTGAAAAATCGCAAAAAGAATAAAGCATTAACCCAAGAGGGATTTGACTCTTCTGGCAGTTTGGGAAGCCAAAAATTTCACCCATGGGGTATCTACTGAAGATCGTAAGCGGAAACAAAATAACACATGAAAACATCCTGCAAGTCATGGTCAAGTTACTGACTTCTTGCATTGGGTCAAGAACAGATATATGGTTGCCGCAGCAAACAATGCAAAAAAAGGAGGTGTCATGGTCAAGTTACTGACTTCTTGCATTGGGTCAAGAACAGAGATATGGTTGCCGCAACAAACATTACAAAAAAAGAAGGTGGGTTCGGTCCACATAATTCAAATTTTCCAAGTAAAATTTAATCCTAATCTCTCACCATATATACCCCTTTTCTCCTCGCTCCCAAGCCCACACCACCACCTCTTCCTCTCTCTCTCTTCCCAAAACCCAAGACTTTCTGTTTCTCCAAACTCGGCTACCAAACAATGGACACCACCACCTCTTCCTCTTTCTCTCTCTTCCCAAAATCCAAGACTTTCTATTTCTCCAAACTCGGCTTCCAAACAATGGAACCCAGTTCACCAATGAATGCCTATTTTTCAACTAAATAGGAAATTTTCCCACGAAACCGAAAGCTAGGAACTTTGACAATGAAATTAAAGTTCAATTAAACCAATTTACAATCAGATGAGATGGAAAATTAGCTAATTAATGCGATTCGATCCTTTTCTGGGCGGATTTTCCAAATATTTCACGGAAAAAAAAAGATTAATTAACGATTTAATCAAGCAATTGGATAACAATCAGAGAAATAGAGACCTTGATTCGAAGAGAAATGGTGAAGCCCTAAATCGAGGTGCTTGGTGCAGAGAAGAGAGGCGAGGAGGGAGACGGGGAGAGCAGAAGTCGAGAAGGTGGGTTTAGAGACTGAAACGGTGGGGAAGCAAGCATCTATAGAAAAGCTGGGTCGACATACAAGAAGGAAGGGCAAAGTTGAAATAACAAAAAAGAAGCAGGGGTGAAAATGGAAGAACACTGTTAATGAACAGTGTTTTTTGCGTTGGGTTTTAGTATATGTATAATGTCCCAGAGCCTTATCGTTTAAGAGTAGATGATGCCAGAAAACGCACACATTTAAACCAGTAACGTAATTTGATTCACTTTTACTCATCACCGCTATTAGATAGGTGAATACACGTCCCACGTATAGAAATCGACCATGCAATGTGATCAAGGCTATCATAACAAGATGCCAACTCATTTAGAAGTCAACTTGGACGACAAGAACACAACTTAATCACATGCTGGAGAAATTATTAATACGTGTGAAATCAAATTGTAATAGTCAGTTAGGACAATTTTAAATTGTAAGCAGTCACGTTCATAGTTGTCAGCATGTTATACGTAAAATAAAGTGAAGATTCAGTAAAAAAGCTTACAAGGAATGCATTTTTCTTAAGCATTATTATTAACAGCTGTTAGTTTATAAGATTTAAACTAAAGATTATCTTTAATAAATTTTTTTGTAATTGGAACTATTATGGTGTGGCTATGTGATGGGCAGACCAAATCCCTGATAGTATAAAACCTAAAATCTGCTGATTTGGGGGCTCAATATGATTCAAGTGATGTAGTTACTTTTTTTTTCCCCTTTTCAAACAAGGATATTCCAGTGTAATTCTAAGATGAGATAATTCTTAAGAGGAGGTCGTGTCTATACGAAACAATCAATGAATCAGTCATAATTAGGTATCATAATTAACATAAATATTAAATTTTATTATCATCAATGTAAATCGAATATTAGACTTTTCATGTACTAATGAATAAGAATACGACTAGATAATTTTACTTGTTCTGAAAAAAATAAAAAATAAAAAGAAGAGGCCAGAGCTAACGGGATTAAGTAAACAAAAGGTTGTCAAGTCATTCCGCGAGTAAATTAGGACATTACTTGAAATATTATGAATAAATAATTTATTGTGATTTTAGTCAAACAATGATGACCAAGTTTTACAATACATCCGTGACTAATTTTATTACAAAGTTATTCATTTGTAACCAAAAGAATGAAAGTGACCACGATATTTTTAAAGTACAAAAAAATGAAACAATATTTTGAGATGCCTTTCGAACAACTTCTAACATTTGGGAAGATCAAGTGGTGGCGGAGGCAAAGTAGATTCTGGCGTCGGTCCATTTTCAACCTCAAAAGCCATGCCTAGCCCCCAGGGCACATGAACGTCCAAATGACAGTGCATGTACCAAATACCTGAGATAATAGTTTACAACAAATAATCAGAATTAATTATTAATAATATAATTAAAATACAAGACATTCAACTACTGTGGTGCTTAGTAAAACTAACCTGGATTATTTGCTTGAAACCTGATCACAGCCCATCCTCCGACCGGCACACCAATTGTGTTACGTATTTGTGGATTAATGAAGTTAAATTTTTTGGGGTCATTAATTGGGTCGTAATTACCAAACCCTTGTGCCAGCACGTGGAAATTGAAGCCATGGAGATGCATCGGATGATTCTCAATCGCCAAGAACGCTGTGTTTTGAAGCACGACCTCCACCGTCGAATTGAATTTCAACGTCTTGACCTTGGTTGATTTTGGGGCATATATCAACGACAGGTCAAAGCTAACGTTCGTGTCCGTGTAGTCAAACTTGATCGGAGGCTCGTCAGGAAAATCTCTGGTGTAAACCCCACTCATGTTGTTAAACTGTGCTTCCATCATGGATGTATTGCTCGGAAGCACGAATGACTCGTTGTTCATGCTAGCGGACAATCGATTAAAGAGCGGGCCCTGACATGTGGCATTTTCCGGACACAGCTCCAAGTTGACGCTAATTGTCACAAACATGCGCTCGTCCACCTTGAGTGGGACCGGGACCCACTGGGGCCCGCCGGCAAGGCCGGTGAGATTGGTTAAGAACTTGTGGGCCAATGGTGTGTTGCGAGGGTTGGGCATTGAGGGCATAATGGGGGTTGATGATCTAGAGCCCTTGTAGACGATGATGCCTCTGGTGGTTGTGTTATCAAAGTTAATGTTTGCGCTAGCATAAGGAGTGGCGGCCATGAAATAGGATCCAATAGGTTGATTGAATTTGACGAGAACGTCAGTGGTCTGGCCGGGTCCAGTAACCACCACGTCGGTGACATAAGGAGTGGTATAGGTGGCGTCGATAGCGACAACTGTCATGTTGTGATTGGCTATCTTGAAGAAGAGTTGGTTATTGAGTGCAACATTGATTAGGCGTAGGAGGTAGGTCTTTCCTCTCACCACATTGAGTTGATATGTCTCTGATAAATTGATGTTAAATTATTAATATTCATCATGCAAAAGTAGTATATAAAAATAAAAAAATTTACGTGCATGCATGCATGGTTACATACGATTTTGAGAGCAGTCGTATAGATCGCCGGGAAGTCCATTTATGGTGTAAGCATTTGAACCGTTAGGAGCAATTCCGGTAGCTAGGCCTTCTTCCTCAATGTCAACAACATTACCATTGTACCACTCTCCTGCAATTCCATCAAACAATTTATAATTAGTCATAAAAATCAATGTTTAAGTGCGTTTCATGATTAATATAAACTAAATTGAATTGTTTAGTTTGATTGTTAATTACCTAATAAGATGGGAACTTCTTTGGCGGGCTTGAGGAAGGGGAAGGATCGACCGACTTTCGGGTGGATTATGAGTGCTCCGTGGACGGTTGCGCGGAGCCACGAAACGTGGGCATGCCACCAAAGGGTGCCTTCTTGTCCGGTGATATTAAATTTGTATGTAAAGCTTTGTCCAGGGCGTATAGGACATTGAGTTACATATGCAGGTCCATCCGCCCATGCACTCAGAAGCTGAAAGATTCCATGCCTGCGTTAAGAAAGAAACTATACAACATGAACAAAACATAACCCAACGTTCGCCTGGGGGATTGTTACTCAAGAAAAAAAATTGACTAAGAAAATATGGGTATGCATTTTGTTCCAAGTAATGTGATTTAGATACATAAAACTCACACTGTTACACGTGTGGGTCCCAAATAATTTGGTTGGGTCATCTTTATTGAAGGGTGCGTTAGTAAGTGTGTTCAAATAGAATTTTTGTTTTGTTCTAGTATATGTTAAGGGGTAAATGATTTTGGATATGTAAACTAATATTTACCAGTGAATAGTAATGTTGTAGGGTGATTGGTTTAAAACGTGGACAATAAGTGTGTCTCCATCTCGTGCATATATTGTCGGTCCTGGATAGCTCCCATTTACTACAGTAATCGATTGATTTCGGCACAGTCGGCTAACTGTCATGTTGTTTACCTGAAACAATAGAAATAAAAAGAAAATTATGACTACTATTATTCAAAGGAAACATTCAAATAATTAGTGAGGAAATATGCATGACAAAATAAGGATCCCAAAGGGCTCGTTTGAATATTGTTTCTAAAAGCCGCTTCTATGACCCAAAAATATTTTGAATTTTTCTGTCAAATTGAATCAGAAGTGTCAGAATGCTCTTTTAGCCATTATGGGAACAGACTTACATTAAAAGAATGCTCAACAATTGCACCAGAGGCTACTGAAGAAGCCAATAGAGCTACAGCACATACTAGCACAAATGCTAAGCGTGCCATGGGGAAGAAATTAAAGAACTAGCTGAAGGGGAAATGAGAATCGTATATTGTTATGAAGATATTGTATTACTCTTGTGATGTCTTAGAGATCGATATATGTTGTTTATATATAGGCATTTGGAAAGAAGCTGCGAACCCATTATTTCCACAATTAGGTAACACATTAGGTAATAAATTTTTATCATTTTGCTAACTAAGGACTTTGAAAAGTTGAACAAAATGACTGGTATTGTATATCCAGCTAACAGTTTGATTAAGTTGGCGATTCATCAGAGAATGCTAGCATAAAGATATATGAACAGAAGTCAGAAACTCGGTTCTTGAAGCAAACAAACCATGTTGAATAAGATCCTTTTGACCATAGCCAATCTAAGTACTTTACAGGCTGACAAACTAGAAGAACACGTTTGGATTTGGATTTGAATTCTCAATGTAAACATAGTAAGACTTCTTCTCGATTGGTAAACAACTGATCGGCTCGGAATAACGTTGACATTGGAAATACCAAATTTCGTTTTTTTATAAAAGTGGAAAAGTTCGTGTGTGTTTGTAATTTTTTTTTTCTTTTAATTTAATTTAGGAGGAATTCTCAGTACTTAATAAATTAAGAATAATGCTTGCATTTCTCAATGTGAGGATGTATATATATTATGTATTTACGAATAACTTATTTTGACTGAATAAAATCAACGATTGAAAACGTCTAATTTATTAATCTTCATTTGAAGATTACTCGTACAAACAATTATTTGAAGTGAAGATCGTTTAAGCATCCAAATATGTCGAAATAATAGACGGTTCATCATGAAACAATGGATAGGGACTCAATTGGTATTTTCAGCTCATTTTCTCATTTGGTGAAACCCTAGGCTAAACTACTACACGTACATTCCATCTTTGACCTATTAAAATCCCAGAAATACAAAACTTCTGCAAGCCACCTTTCACAGTTGTATTATGTGGTGGCCGACATAAATGGTCACATCACAGATATCGTCAACCCTATTTTAATCCTCATGTCATATTCAAAAGAAACGTTTTGATTCTTGAAGTTGAAGCTGTCGTGGTCAATACGCATGGGGTGCAGCTGTTGACAAAAATAATTTCTGACTCAAATCGACTTTGCCTTGGCATTCAAGAAAACATCATTCGTGTCGATATCGTGGATGAATAAACATACTACCCAAGAATTTTTATCATCCGTTTTGAGTGTCATATTATCGAGAAATGCTTAACAATCACATGCCGATTCAATTTACCAATTTGCCATATCATGTTCAGTAACGGAACTAAGGTGATCTCAAGATTATTCAAAATTTTAGAATATAAATATGAAGGGTTTTTTAGGACCCTCCAAATGTTTAATACAGATTCTTTTTGTACATACTAAATGTTTGATATAATACTTGTTAGACATATCTTAACAGATTATACGACAACACTCAAAAAGTTATCTTGATATCACTCATTAAATTACTTCAGCATATGTCGATATTTGTTGATATATATGTAACATGATTTGGTTAAAGACAACAAATTTACCAAGCGTTCGACGAAATGTTTCATTGAATAATCCAAAATATTTTTTGCACGCTTTACGATTCGTTTCTATCTAACATTGAGACTCCCCAAAATTCAAATCTTGAATCTACCACAATATCCGTACAATTGCAAAAGTGAGTTATATAAAAGGAAAACTAATGAAAAGGGCTTGAAAATTTTGAGTTTAAATGATAAGGACAAAATAAAGGGTAAAGTGAATAGTACCAGAATTGACTTTTTAGTGTAAAAATGTGGTTTTTCGTTAAAGTGAACAGTATTGGGAGCTTTTCGTTAAAGTTCCCTTATATAAAACGATATTTATTGTATACTTTAATTATACATCAAAGTCACTAATGTAAAAATAATAATTTAAAAAATGAAAACATTAAAGCAGAACAAAGCCGCATGACTGAAACGGACGACATCCATATATTTCACATCACAGAAACCTTGAAGTAACCCGTAACACCAAGGACTTGGATTCTCTGCCCTCCCATTTCGGTGCCTTTTTCGTGCCCTCCTGTTTTGTGTGGTCACGGTTAATCCATGCTAACATTTTATATTGTTTTTTATAAAAATAATAAGACAAAAAAAAAATAGTAATATAAAATATTGACGTAGCTTAACCGTGATCACACAAACAGAAGGGCACGGGGAGAGCACCGAATTGGGAGAGCAGAGAATCCAAGTCCTAACACCAAACCCCTCACAGCCACCACCTTTGATGATGCAAGGACATTCAACATTTATTTTAACTTGGTCGACTCACCTAATTAATTAGGTTTATATGTTCTTCTATGGAATCAACGATTTCGTTTGTCTTCGTTGGAGGAAACTACAGGTATTAAAAGCAAAGGTAATTGCTCTATCTATTTCCCTTTTGTCGCCTTCTCATTTATATATATCAACTTTACGTGGTTGATGATTTGGTGATAAATTGAAATCATATCAGGAAAAAAATAATAATAATAATACAGGAAAGAACCCTAAAAATTCACACACGTAAAAGACCTTTGATCGAGTCTATATATGGTGGGCTAATGAGGTGCTTTTATTTTGTTTTGTTGTTTCTTTCAACAATTGTATTATTTTACGTAAATTAAATGAAGACTTCTCTACAACTAAGAGAAGGAAGACTAAGAAGTTGGTCCGGTGGAAAGTGGCAACCACGATCTGGTTTTTGGACGTATGTTTTGCGCTTGCGCGTAAGCTCTGTTCATTTTACTATCAAATATAATATATAGGTGATCAAAATAGTCAAAATTGCATATAGTTTTTTTTGTTGATTAATTGCTGCATCTGGAATCCATCGGAGATACAATTTAGCCAATATATATGGTGATAATACAAAACAATGTCTTCTTTGAAACATTACTACTTCTCATTTAATGTTAATGATGTTTCTATAACATGAAATTTTATCGTGATAATTAAACAGTCAAATGATTTCATATTGAATTGAATTTTTTCAAGAATAATCAATAAATCAAAACCTTCAAAATAAGCGATTCAGATTGTTAAAGTTCAATGCAGAGTAAGTTTCACAACTAATTTTTATTTAAAATAAAATAAAATAAAAGGGCATGTAGGGATGATAGTGGGTCGAATCGGGGATGTCATGTCATTACAATCCGACAAGTATTTTTCCCCACCTCCGCCTTCATACCCGAAAATTTCAAATCAATGAGGAACGACTTATCTGATTATAATTGTAATACTTTGTTCAACTTGTTGTAAATAGTGTGTGGATGGTCCACATGAATAGTTTGTTACTATTTATGCACAGTATTTTCACTATTCATTTGTGGAAAATTTGTAAAGTGAATAGTGCTTTCTTTTGTTTATATAAAGGAAGAAGAGGAATGAAGTGAGGGGAGTTCACGGGAAAGAAAGAGAGGAAGGAAGGAAGAGGAAGAGAGAGAATAGAGGAAGATGAGAGGAGATAATAGAGAGAGTTATCTTTGTACTCCTATTATTTCAAATTATAATGAAAGCACCACTGCTGCCCCGAGGACGTACTCCAGTCACACTGACTGTAGAGGAACCTCGTAAATTTTGTGTCTTGTTTCATTTATTCCACTGCACCCACAGTTGATTTTACAACACGTTATCAGCACGAAAAGCTCTCATGTCAGTGGAAAGCACAACACCATAAATCCGGTGAAGCATTATCTACCTCTCACCTCGGTCAGCTAAAATCTCACAGAGTAGAGACGGCAAGCCAGACATGTCAAACAGGGAAGATCATCTTGTCACAAAAATCCATCAACCTTTCTTTTATCACTTTTCTTTTATCACTCTAACTATTGATGTGCTAATCCTTATCCCTGCTAGACCTGCAATCTATTTTTTCTCTCGTGGACAAGAAAGATGGAGAGATCTTACAGACAAACAAAGGTGCAGCAAAACAAGCAAAGGTATGTCCATTCGTTTCTCCCACCGCGCCAGAAGCGCCTCACCGATTTTCGGTGCGAATTGAAATTTCCAACGACCTGAAGTCGTCACGAGATAAGAAAACTCATACCTGACAACTGGTTTCCAGAGATCCAGAAGAATCTCATTAGACTTGGAAACCCAGATCGTGTCGTTCTCAATGGATCTCGAGGACCTCCATGAATCCTCAGTTGTCTGAGATGGTGATGGCATGACTGACTCCACACAGGCCTCCCTCTCTTGTGCCTTCGTCAACCTCACTGTCATCTATGTCTATATGGAGAGGTTCTTGCTTTGCGATGCCATGTTTTTTGGGCCATGCAAGAACAACGCCAGTCTCTGGTAGCCTTTTTGGATTGAATTGGTTTTGTGTAACCCCCACAACAACCCAGCTGGTACTGAATTTCGAGACTGGTAGAGATAGACAAAGAAAAGGGGAAATGGGGCCAATGATTTAGAAAGGTGCGTTGCACCATGTAAAATAAAAGAAATAAAAACAAAAGTTGTTGGAATGTTGTAGCATGTGATTGAATAAGAAAATAATAAAATAAAATAAAGGTAAAGGTTTTTGGATGGTGTTACACCGTCTGAAAAGAAAGAAGAAAATATTTATATATTTATTTATGTGAATGGTGTTGGCTTAAAACACTTTCACAAGTTCTATTTATTTAAAGCAATTTATTTACAGTGGGTAGAATTATTACCCTTTGCTTTAAAGCTTTGATATTTATGTGCATGGTGTTGGTTTAAAGCCCATGTCACAAGTTCTATTTACTTTAAAACAATTTATTTATCATGGACGGTTTTACCGCCTACTGCTTTAAGTTTTGATTTATGTGAATGGTGCTGAATTAAAGCCCTTGTCACAAGCCTTAATTTATTTATTGTTCAATTTATTTACTATGGCTGAAATTCCAGCCTATTGCTTTAATTTATTTATTGTACTTATCTTTTGTTACGATGAGTATAACAAGGACCCAGATTCCTTGATTAGATCAGAACCTGCAGTTTCTTGATCCTCATCACATAAAATGATTGGACCCGAAGTTCCATCATGCAAAAAGATCAAACATGAAGTCCCTAG